TATGTTTAAGTTCATTAGTGCTTTCACTGTACGTTTTCTTATGTCAGTAGATGACAATATCATCAGCATATTTTAAGCAAGCATTTTCTTGTGGCATTGTAAATTAATTACTATTTATAACTGGGAATAAGCCACATTAAAGATAAAAATACATTTATTGACGTTTCAATTTCCAATTCGGAAATCGTTCTCAAAATACAAATAGTAAATTAAACAAATTTTGTTTTTTGTTACATAGTGAAAAAATTCTTCTGATAATTTAATTTTATCTGACTCATTTATATTGACAATTCAGACATACATTATGCATTTTAAAGTAGACGACTTTAAAATGATATTGCCAATATTGTTGAGTTGCGCTCCTGGGACGACTTTACTTATAAGATAGTTCATTCGATTACATGAAATCAACTTTAACTTGAGAATATCCGTCAGAAAAAATCATAGCATGTAATTCGTCTTTAAAAAGACAAACACATGACATGATGACAGTAAAATTCTCCTGTTAGTGATTCCATAGTAAATTATGAGGGAAAAACCAGGAAAAAAACCTCATAATACTATCCCGACATTGTAAGTATTTGTTCGTGAATTTAGTTTACCTTCAACAAACATCAAAATTCTGATTTTATGTTACGTTATTTAAAAAACATAAATGATGTATCCTCTATATGTTACTGACTTACTAATACTGGTATTTTCTTATTAATAACTTCCTCTTTCAATATTGGTAACCAGATCCTACTACATTCTGCCGAGGAATTTGCGACACAATTGGCCTCATTTAGCATAATTAGAGCCGCTTCTTTGATTTTTCTTTTTTTACCATCCGTTTCTTTTAGGACTATATTTGAATTATTCCATTGAACTCTATGTTCATTATCCCATGCGTGTTTACATATTTGAGATCTATCAAATTCTCTATTTTTAATATAAGATTGATGTTCACTTATTCTAACATTTAATGGCCTTGATGATTCACCTAAATAAAACTGATCGCATTCACAAGGTATTTTATAAATGCAATTCTTTGTCCTTTCTTGTTCATTGTTAGGTTTGGTTTTGGACAAAATAGATCTCAACGTGTTTGTTGTTTTGAATGTTGTTGAAATGTTGAATTTATTTCCTATCCTTTTAAGTTTTTCTGATAATCCTTTTATGTACGGTATTGTTATTTTCCTCATATTATTCCTTGTGTATGCTGTAGGATCTCGTTCTAAGTTGTTCTGTTCTATTCGATCGATTGTTGAAAATTCCTTATTTATAAACGATAAAGGATAATCATTTTTTAATAAAACAGATGTTAACAAATGTTTCTCCTCCAAGAACGAATTTTGTTAGAACAAGTAATTATCTTATACGATAGAGCCAAAATTACTTGTTCTAACGAAAATTCGTTCTTGGAGGAGAAACATTTGTTAACATCTGTTTTATTAAAAAATGATTATCCTTTATCGTTTATAAATAAGGAATTTTCAACAATCGATCGAATAGAACAGAACAACTTAGAACGAGATCCTACAGCATACACAAGGAATAATATGAGGAAAATAACAATACCGTACATAAAAGGATTATCAGAAAAACTTAAAAGGATAGGAAATAAATTCAACATTTCAACAACATTCAAAACAACAAACACGTTGAGATCTATTTTGTCCAAAACCAAACCTAACAATGAACAAGAAAGGACAAAGAATTGCATTTATAAAATACCTTGTGAATGCGATCAGTTTTATTTAGGTGAATCATCAAGGCCATTAAATGTTAGAATAAGTGAACATCAATCTTATATTAAAAATAGAGAATTTGATAGATCTCAAATATGTAAACACGCATGGGATAATGAACATAGAGTTCAATGGAATAATTCAAATATAGTCCTAAAAGAAACGGATGGTAAAAAAAGAAAAATCAAAGAAGCGGCTCTAATTATGCTAAATGAGGCCAATTGTGTCGCAAATTCCTCGGCAGAATGTAGTAGGATCTGGTTACCAATATTGAAAGAGGAAGTTATTAATAAGAAAATACCAGTATTAGTAAGTCAGTAACATATAGAGGATACATCATTTATGTTTTTTAAATAACGTAACATAAAATCAGAATTTTGATGTTTGTTGAAGGTAAACTAAATTCACGAACAAATACTTACAATGTCGGGATAGTATTATGAGGTTTTTTTCCTGGTTTTTCCCTCATAATTTACTATGGAATCACTAACAGGAGAATTTTACTGTCATCATGTCATGTGTTTGTCTTTTTAAAGACGAATTACATGCTATGATTTTTTCTGACGGATATTCTCAAGTTAAAGTTGATTTCATGTAATCGAATGAACTATCTTATAAGTAAAGTCGTCCCAGGAGCGCAACTCAACAATATTGGCAATATCATTTTAAAGTCGTCTACTTTAAAATGCATAATGTATGTCTGAATTGTCAATATAAATGAGTCAGATAAAATTAAATTATCAGAAGAATTTTTTCACTATGTAACAAAAAACAAAATTTGTTTAATTTACTATTTGTATTTTGAGAACGTTAACAGCTCCCTGTGGAATACCTTTTGATGTGATCTTGGGTCTAATAATATTGTGACCTATTCTTATCGATACACTTCTGTCTTTGTATAGATTTGATAAAAAATGTGCTATCGATTTTGGAATGCCAAGAAACAGAAGTTTATCACAGAGTATATTTAAATCAATATTGTCATATGCACTTTTTATGTCAATAAACAATGCACCTGTTGTCATGGAATTAGAAAAACCAATTTGAACATCTGTAGTCAGACGAACTACTGCATCCGTGGTTCCATAGCCTTGTTTATATCCATATTGTGTTGCTGGTAGAATATTATGCCGCCTTAACCAAATTTTCATTCTCAATTTTAGAATTCTTTCAAATATTTTAAAAATGCATGACAATAATGCTATTGGTCTATATGATTTCGGATTATCTCTGTCTTTTCCCGGTTTTAAAATTAATATAACAAAGCAATCATTAAATTTGTAAGAAAGTATTCCAGTTACAGTTATAAATTAGTAGTAGTAGTCTTTTAGCCAGTACACCCATTTTTGTAACCTAATGTACGAAATCTGATCTGGACCTGGAGCTGTATTTTTGGATATCTTAGTAGCATATTCCAGTTCATATGATTAATTACTATTTAACTGGGAACAAGCCACAATTAAAGATCAAAATACGTTTATTGACGGTTCAATTTCCACTTCGGAAATCATTCTCTTCGAAATTCGGAAACAGTATGTTGCTATAAAATAAGTTTAGAAGAAAGGCAACAAGAATTTAACAGATTTTTGAGACTTAATAAGTATTAAGCTAAATGCCTTTATGTATCATCTTCAGTCATGTTTGTGCCTATAAAAAGAAGAGCTAAAATATCGACTAAAATAAACCACACAAGAGTATACCACCTAGTTGGTGGTCTGTTCAAAAATGTTTATTTAAAAAAATGAAATTAAAAGAGGTTATTAAAGATCATAGAGGATACACCTGATTGAAAATCATTATAACGTTGTCTTCGTTTTTAGAATAGTACTATGCTGTATGTGGTAATACGTCGTAGATCAAGAATAATAACAACTACATTGAGAAATTATCAGTAGTAGACAGTGTTTGTTGTTTTAATTAAATGACCTTACTCAAATATATTGTAGAATATTTAAACAGAACAGTAGTAATTTAATTTTTTGTATAATAAATTTCCATAATAATTTAACTCGAACGTAAACAAAACAATTGTAATTAACAAAAAATACTACCTTAATATTTATACATTTTTTGCAATGAATTGTCTAAAGGTCGTATTGTGAGCAAATTTCTCTGAAATTAACAAATGGGGGGCTACGTTTCAACTAATAGTTGATAATGCAACTAATCTTATGCAATTTAAAAAAAAATAGAATAAGATAGGGTGATTATAGCATATATTAACGTTAGAGTTAACTCGCTTAAAATTGGTCAAAACTGCCTTTTTCCTTCGTTAAAAGCATAAGAAAATCTAATCATCATTCCACAACATAAATTGCTGCTTGTGATACACAAATATATCGATACCTCCATTCGTCAATATTATTTAGAAACCTACATAGAAAAATAAATGAGTTTTATTCATTTCACTAATTTATTTGTATCCATGAGAAATATTAAATTAAAAAGGTACTAAACAGATCTTTTTTAATCAGATTATGTCTACTTACAATTTATAAATGTCTACTAATTTCATGAACTCATATCTTATTCAATACATTAATGAACATGAATAAACCCAATGGTACGCCTGTTAAAATGTAAACAAACACGCTTCCTCATTTCCTCATCTTAAATAATGTAAATTGTATGTACTTACAAATGAAATGAGAGATCGGGATGTAAATATTTCGTTTATTTTATTTTACTTTTCACAAATATCACTCAAAATACAGCCAAAATATCGAAAAATAAGTTTTTCCTCATTTACTGTAAAAAGTAAACAAACATGGAACAGCATTTGAAGTTTGACGTAGATCCATAAGACAGAAAAATGTAAACAACCGTTGCCATTTATAAATAGTTTTCAGTGCTTCTACATATAAAATAATTGATTGATATCTATTATACGCTATTATTAAATGATAATGCACACTATGTGCACACTTGATATTTTGATTACAATTAAATATATTAATATAACCAATAAATTATTATTTTGGTTTGATAGCACCTGTAGAGTATGAAATACGGAGTAATATTTTCAGCGACTCGCGAATAAGAAATTTTAAAACAAAACGTGACAACAGTTGAAGGTGCTCAGAATGTGACCTATTCAAATAATTTTGACTTCACAATTTTATGTAAATAACTGAGTCCATCTGTGTTTATACGTCCATGGATACCTCACTTCAATAGCGTAACAAGTCCAAAATTCAAATATTGGGGAAAACGAAGAAAAAGAAATTTCATATTTTATGTTCTATATATTTTTTTCAATTTTAATTTTTTATGAACGAATTATATTTACCTGATACATCACAAAATCAGGAACCGGATACAGTACATTCTTCACCAGCTCCCTCCGTTGATCCCGATTTAATGAACATTTTTTATGCATTTAGTGACAGTGATACAAGCTATGTTCCTGACGGAGATTCTGATAGTGAAGAATCACACCCAATACCAACAGCTATGGCTTATTCGTCTATAGAAGTGAGCCACTGTTCTCCCAGTATATTAGAAAGGCCATTTATGGAGTGGATGACTGCATCCAGAGCTCAAGTCAAACAAACAATGATATTCATGGTGATAGAATTCCGTCTATCCATTCGAACGCAGAAAGAATTATCAAACCATTGGCTAGAAAAGTGCGAAAAAATAGAAAAGAATGTCTGCATAGCGGTAAAGAATTTATAACTGCAAAAGGCAAGAAAGTAAAAGCAAGAAAAATGCTAGAGTTGAAAGAATGTCGAAATAAGTGTTATCTGAAATTGAGTCCAGAAATTCGCTTTTCCAAGAATACTGGAGTTTAGGCTCTTATGATAGAAGAGTTACCTACATTGCGGCTCTCATCAATAGTGCACAAAAAAAAGTATTCGTTTGAGAAATTTTTATAATCCCAAAAAACGTGAAGTGATACATCAATATTTTTTTAAAATAAGTGGAAGGAGAATTCCTGTATGCAAAGCATGTTTTTGTGCAACTCTAGATGAGAAACCAAGATTTATACGTACTGTTATAGGCAAAAAAACTCAGTGCAAGTGTATCAGGCATTCCAAGCTCTGACGTAAGAGGACACAACCCACCACCACATACAAAGACGCCAGAAGAGATGGAAGGTGTTAAAAATTATATACTTTCATTCCCATCATACAAAAGTCATTACACTAGACGTACGAACGACAAGAAATACTTGCAATTTCATCTTAACCTACGAATTATGTACGACCTATACTGCCAAGACAAGGAAAATCCAGTTAGTCGAAAAATTTATGAGAAAACTTTCTGATCACTAAATTTATCATTTATGAAACCTAAATGATACATGCTACACATGCGATTTATTGAACATAAAATGAAGACGGCAGTTAGTGATCCTGACAAAGCTGCCCTTACAGTTCAACGCGAAGAGCATCACATCCAGTGCAGATAAGGCATATAATATGAAACAATTCGACAAAGAAAATCAAAAACCAGTCACGAAAAAGCATGTTATACGTTTGACCTACAGCAATGTTTACCAACACCTTTTCTTGGATCTTGCGTTGTGTTTTATAAAAGTCAGTTGTGGACATACAATCTCACTATTCATGATGGAGCTTCAGGGAAATCCACACATTACATGTGGCATGAATGCATAGCTCGTCGCGGAGGAATTGAAATAGAGTCATGCCTATATCACTTCTTAAAAAATCATCTATCACCCTCAGTAAAGTATTTAACGTTTTATTGCGATACCTGTGGTGGTCAGAACAAAAATTCTCATGTGTTGGCGATATTTTTGAATTTTATAGAGGAATCCACCACTTTACAGATTATAAATCATAAGTTCTTAATTCCTGGGCACACACATATGGAGTGTGACATAGACCACGCATTGGTATATTGGTATTCCAATATACCATCCACATGACTGGTTTCAGCTTGTTCGATCCACGGGGAGAAAGAACAAATTTGAGGTGTGTGAAATGAAGCAAGAAAACTTTTATGACTTTTTCAAACTCTTCAATGACCAGTTAGTTATAAAGAAAAAGAATGAAAATGGTTTGGCATTCAAGTGGCATGATGTGAAGTGGTTGCAATATGATGTTAACGAGCCAAGGAAAATCAAATATAAGAAAATCTCCTGCAAAAGTTGCATTTTAGACTTGTGTCCATTGTACCGCCCTCCATAGAATTCAACTTTTTGTTCTTTATTGTCACCAATTTTATAGAAAATTCATATATTCTTTTAAAAAATGTTTCCTAAAACGTACTATCAAATTCCATCCATACTTTTTTTTCTGTAAAAACAAAAAAGGAAGTTTACAACTATGAAAGTCAGTTAGTTTTTTCTAATAGAAAAAAATTGAAAAAAAAATTTAAATTTGTTCCCAAAAAAAATTTTTTTTGTACTTACTTAAGTTACAATATAGAGTCTGGCAATTTATTAATTACAAAAAAAATATTTAAATAATTTTATTTCATTCTGGGCGGTATGAGATTTTATTATATTTCATATGTGCTCTAATTTCGGCTTAATCCAAATTTAGCCTGACATGGTATCAATAAAAAAGATTCAATTATTTACATTTGATTTTTTCTCTAGAATCGTGGTCAGAACTAAAAAGCCTAAGCCAATGCAAAAAAAATTCACATATGAAAAGTGTCATATCTGCATATAAAGCATCCAAAATGTATGGTATACCAAAAAGTACATTGAAAGATGTGAATGCAAAATAGTTCATGATTTCTGAACCTATTTTGAAAATCAATGTCCCATAAATTCTGCTGAATCACATTTTGTCACTTCTCCAAAACTTCCAGCGCCATTTAAAAATGCATTTTATTTTCCCAAAAAAATTTCTCAAACATCCAAAAGAAAGGCTGAAAAAAAATTTTTTGGCTTAGACTTATCGTCATACAGCCAGACGCAAATGGAATAAGACAGTATTCATCATTATCATTTACTTAAATGCCCTATCAAAATAATTGATTACATCGTTATTAGGTAAGACCTGAAGAAGATGGAAGTAAGGCCATGGGAAATAATAGCACAGGATCGGAATCAATGGAAGGCAATAGTAAACGCGGCAAAAACTCACGAAGAGTTGTAAAAGCCAATGATGATGATGATATTAGGAGAACAGGGACACACTCTTCTCGCCTAGGGACCTATCAAGGCATTGATTTATATGACACTACAACACTAGGTCACTGAGAGGAGGAAGTTATACAAATGGTTTAAAACAAAGGTAACAAGATTAACTAAATAATTTTTAGATAATTATAATGATAATTTGCTGTCTTTTAAAAATTTAATTAAAGAATTGTAAACATCTACAGAGCCAAGTGATAATAAATAGAGTATATTCCAAGCAGCTGCTATTTTATATTTTAATAAATCATTTATAAGTTTGGATGAGTAGACTGTATTTTTAGAACAACCAAAAAATATATGATCTAAATCACTTTCCTCTCCACAATGCTCACATTTGTCATCATCCAAAACCTTTATTTTAAATAAGTGCTTTGGATAACATGCGTGCCCGAATCGTATTATAATAATGGAAGTTATGTGCCTCCTGGAAGCTCTACAAGACTTGTACCAAGGAAATTTGGGAATATCTGGCTGAATTAACGAGTATCTATTTCGATTCACAAAAGAGTATTCCTTCCACTGGTAACTCCACTCTCGAAGCAATGTTGACTTGCAAGAAATAATACTATCAGAAAGCGTTACTTTATGTAGAATACCAGTATCGGTTGAAATGCTTTCTTTGGCTAATAAGTCGACATATTCATTATGTTCAAATCCTGCATGTGCTTTAATCCAGAGAAAATGTACATTAATTCCTTTGGTTAAAAGAGTTTGAATAATATGTTTAATTCTATAAATGTATGGGCAGTCTTGTAAGTTTGGTGGTCCATATTTACCAATAGATTTTAACACTGCTAAGGAGTCGGACAAAATATTAATATGGACAAAATCAACTTCAGCTACACATAATAAAGCTTCATATATTGCAATAACTTCCGCTGTATAAATCGAAATCTCCGGGTTCAGTTTGAATTTCTTTTCTATATGTCCCGATGGTATAAAAAAAGCTCATCCGGTTCCATCTGGAGATTTAGACGCATCTGTATATAGAGCTATTGCCTCTTTGTAATTAGATACAGATATATATATATATAGATCAATTAGATATAGATAGAACAATATTTTTATTTAAATATATGTTTTCAGTAGTAATATCCCTAGGACATTGATAACAGACGAGATAATTTCATGACAATCGAAAGCTCGTTCCTTGGTAACAGCACGAAGCCGAAGGCTGAGTGCTGTTACCAAGCAACGAGCTTGAGAAATTTGTCATGAAATTATGAGGCATTCATCAATGTCCGAGGGATATTCGGCGGATAATTTTTCGAAAAAAAAAATCATAACTCAACATAACGAAACATTTATTTATTAAAAGTACAGTTAGTGAAAGTACAATTATTAAAATTTAAGTTAACATTAGATTCGTTGCTGTTCTCTACTATAGAACAATATATAAAAATATAAATATATTTGTGACTGTAGGTTGTATTTCTGGGAATTTTTTCTTTGATTAGCGCATTTATACTTTGAACATTCTCATTGCCGAAACGTGACATTTTGAAATTTATTTGGATGAAGTTGTCAAACTCGATCGTGTTGTCATAGATGCATAGGGATTGAAAATTACACTGAATGCAATTATCAGTCTAATGTTGACATGATTGGGTAAAATTGTTCCACATGACACAAAATGACGAAATTTGAATGGGTGTGAGAACAGTCGAAAAATTATCACTATAATTTGGTACAATAATATCTGTATGTAAAAAGAAAGAAGAGTAGTTTTTGAATATGTGGTTCGTTGTATCTATATTTTTTAAAAGTGCTATATTTTGATCATACGATTCGCAAAGTAAGGGAAATTTCTTTTTTTGTCAATATTTATTTGTCAGGTCATGGCAATTCAAAGTCACTATCTATTCGTATAGAGATTAGTTCAGTAGGTACACTTTCATTAAATATTTTTAACGATTGTTGATGATTTCATATAGAAAGAAAAACATTCAAAACAAAAAATCCAATTAAATATAATGAAACTGATCGATTAATAAAAAAGAGAACAAAAGAAGCTAAGGAGAGAATGTTACATGAGCAGTGCTAAGAACTAGAAGAAATTGAGAAAAAATATGACTTTTTAACATGCATAAAAGAATTAGAGAATTAACAGGAATGAGAAAAACACTTCAAACTAGGCAACTAAGAAATGAAAGGGGTGTACTTATAACAGATATAAACCAAAAAATGCAGAGATGGACGCAATATATAGCACAACTTTTTGAAGACAAAGAGAGAACAGAAGCACCAAAAGAATTTAAAGATGATACTGGGCCTGACATTATACGGGAAGAAATTGAATATGCAATGAAACAAGCTAAAGGAGGTAAATCTAACGGGCCTGACGAAGTTCCTATCGAATTACTTAAAATTGTGAATACTGAATCTGTTGATTTTCTTTTGGATCTATTCAATACCATATATAGAACAGGTATAATACCTAAAGAATGGCTCCAATCAACATTCATACTGCTTCCCAAAAAAGCCAATGCAAAGGAGTGCAATGAACAT